CGTGTTTTCTGTACACCCAGGACGACAAAATCTGTATAAGTCTACGTGTCCATCTAACGTCCTCCACCGTGTTCCACTCCTGTTGCCACTTAGTCAACGATTCCGCTCTCACAACTTTTCTAACTCTTCCGGCATCTCTCCGCCTGTAGCACTCGCTGTCCTCCGCCAGGGCGATGCCGACAGGGATCATTCCGGCGATTACGCATACTGCTTCCGACGAGATGGTTCTGTACGCACTCCCGACTTGCATGGCCATGAACCGGAACGTACTGCTCAGTTTCCTTTGGTTCTGCTTCGTTTCCAGCGCTGGAACCCAGGCTGGACCTCCATACCTTAGTATCGACGACAACACACTAGCCAGAAGACGCCTTTTGCTGCTCCTGGGACCAGCGTTGTTCGGCATGATTATAGCTATCGCGTTGATGGCCTTCGAAGCCTTCTTACCGGCATATTCGACGTGGCTGTTGAAGTTTAGTCGGTCATCGATCATCACTCCCAGGTATTTCAACACATGCTTTGAGGTTATGGCGTACCTCCCACGGTGATATCTGCCCGCTGTACCGTTTTACAGTTACTAGCCAATAACACTTCCGTTTTGTGGTGGGCTATCTGCAGCTTCGCTCCTTGCATCCAGTTACCAATCATGTCGATCGCCTCGGTTGACAACACTTCCACCTCTTCCAGCGTCTCGCCTGTTACCGTCAAGACGACGTCGTCTGCAAAGCAAACGATCTCAACTCCTTTGGACAGCTTTAGCGTTAGCACGCTGTTGTACATCCCGTTCCAGAGCGTTGGACCAAGGATGGAGCCTTGTGGAACTCCCGCTGTGATCCTAATCGATATCTGTCTCATGTCTGTCTGTCGACTAAACAGAAGCAAATTTCAATAATGATGCGCTGATGCACTTCCCGTATTCGCATTTCCAAAATGTGTACATTATGATTTTACAAAAATTTAAAAAAATTGACTACATACTGTACGTTAATAGAAAAAGTAACCTTCAAAAAATCTCTGTATGCAACAAACTAACAACTAAAGTCTTCACCGGGGTGATTCTCCCCAGTGAAGCAAACGAACTCTCTACGGTGCTCCCTAGTGATCACTCATATTGCGAACGTCAGAAACTGTGTTTGTTTGCGAAGTGGGAGAAGCGGTAGGGTAAATGTTGGCTTCGGCACCCATTGACTGTTTTCGGCCACCAAAATTTAAACGTTAATTTCACTATGTTTTCCCATCAACGCACTTCCCTGAATGTGTCCAAACGATTGTTTAGCCTTTCAGCTTCAATCTGATTATATTTGAACGATCGAGCAATCCAGTAATGCTACATTTTTCTTCAAATAAAGCATACGCACTACAAAATGGGGTTGATTTCGAGTTGCCGATAATAGAACAGCTGGTTAACACGCAGTTCTAATGGGAAGGTTGCCGAAGAAAAAGAGGCTGCCGACAATAGTCACACTCACCTGAGAAGTTTGGAGCGTTGTAAAAACGCTTTCAAAACGTTTTGAAAAATTATGTCGATTGGAATGGATAGAAAAGCAAGCAGCAGATGAATGTAAACAAACATACACATCATATATGTGTGTGACGCTGAGAAAATGCTAGTAGAAGTGCAGACACTGCTTAGATTGACGAGAATACGTAAATTCCCCTATATAGTGAAAACAAAATAAAGATCTCTCGGGTGAGTTTGCTTTTGTCGTAGTGCGAGGTGTCTTTTCAACTCAACACCCTGCTTACACTGGGGAGAATGGCATCCCTGCGTTCCACAGCGTGGGACCTAGAATGGAGCCTTGTGGAACTCCCGCCGTGATCCTAAGCGATTTCTGCCCCGTGTCTGTCTCGTAAACCAGGACCCGGTTCTGGAAGTAACTACTTAGAATCATGCAGAGGTAGTTTGAAACCCTCATTCTATGGAGCGCTTTGGCGATGGCCTCCCAGCTGGCGCTGTTGAATGCATTCTTCACGGCGCAGTATCGATCTCCTCTCCGCTTCTGTTTGGAAGCTTTCTCGGCTCTGTCAATCACTGTCCGAATTGCATCCACCGTCGATCTCCCTTTCCGGAATCCGAACTGCCTCTCCGACAATCCGCTTTCCGACAGTATCCAGCAAGCATATTAGCCTACGAGATGCAGGATCCACCGGCGATTCTCCGGGCTTCGGCAACAGCACAAGCTTCCACCTATCATGGAACTGACCCTCGTCCAGACATTTTTGCAACACCATCTTGAACATGTCCGGGAACGTCGGGATCGCCGCCTTCAACGCCACGAATTCCACCCGGGCCGGGAGCTTTCTTCGCCTTCAACCCTTTCGCTGCTGCTAGGAGCTCCTCGTTGGAGACTTGTTCAACGTTGTCTCCATCTTCACGCCCATTCCGAGATTACTTTCATTTACAATAAGCCCCGCATGTATGTATTATGTATTCAAAATGTTCTTTTGAATCCTGGTACGTATTAAGTTTGTTTTTTTTTTATTGTAAATAGTATTTGGACTGGTCTCACCATGTTAATAAATACTTCCTTCGATGAACACATTTTTTTTCGCATTGCTATGGTCATCTGGGAGGAGATTCGCGTATTGTGCTTTCCCCAGGAACCTTTCGCGGCCACCAGCTACCACCCGTCCAATCTTGGGCGTATCCAGCGAGGCATATTTCATATTGCTCGCAATCTCCGATACCGGCGAGAGACCAGTAGCCGAGGTTTTTTGGAAGCGGAAAACTTGCTGATTCACGGTGGGCACATTATCAGCACGTTCCCGGGCTAATTCACCAACCGGACCGAGTTCAAACTCGTTCACGGTGACGAATCTTTTAATAGAATAAAACTACACTCCGAAAGTGAGGCAATGAAAACCGACACCGAACAATGGAACTGAAGCTGCGTCTTAGATTTTGCAGGTCAGATTCAAGGTCAACCGAGTCACTCAAGGCAAACACAGGCACAAATTAACAAATTTAACGCAAAAAAAAAGCTTGATTCACTGACGAAAAACACACAGCAAAAGAAAACAACCAACAGCTTTCAAGCGTGGCTTACTGCGATCGACTCCGACTTCGGTTCCACCATTATCGGACTGAAGATTTCTTGGCTCAAATTTAGAACAAAATCTGATTTGAGCCACGATACCATTTTCAAATTTCGATAATTCAAAAAGAAGATCATTAGCGACTGGACCTCATTGGGTGTGAAGTATTGAGGGTACATGTCGCTAATTTGTGTCTAATAAGTAGCTATCGATTGTGGTTTTAATCATCTCTCAACTAATCATTGACTAGCAGAAATTTCACTAAGAAGTGGACTAAGGTCACTTTTATAAATAAAACTAGGTATAACTTGTTTTAAAAAAAGAGATAGGGTAGAGCGCTACTTCGTCGTAATCGCTCATTTCCGTTCTATCGATCAGAAAAGATCAATAATATCAATGATTTCACCGTTCTCAAATCAATAATAGGTTTGTTCCGATGCGTTAGTTCATTAGCTACAACATAAATCCTGTTAGAGCGCACTGTATGAATATTTACGCTCATTGTTCTCAAAACAAAAGAAGCGCTCCTAGCGAATCCCCTTTTTCTACGTTTATCCGTAGGACGAAGAAAATCTTATGGCGTTTCAATGCGTTTGGACGGAATTGTAACTCGTAGAACGAATTTAGAATCAAGAAGCAGTATTAGATTTTAAACAATATCTCAACAATTTGTGACTCTGTATCGAATCTAACGATACGTACGGAAAGGTGAATAAATTTAGAAGTCATCATTGACAGAAATATTCCATTTTTAGTTAAAACTCGTTCAGAAAAGAGAGGTAAAGTGCGTGTTGTGCTTAGTAGGACGGAAATTAGATCAAAAAACCCTACAGGCAATTTTTTTTTTTTACAATATATGAGCTTTATGAAGTTCCAAAAGTCTCTCGAAGATGACGTTCATGGGAATTTTGAACTGAAAAAGTTACAAGCAAAAGATTGTTTTATGAGGGCCAATCTAAAGGCTTATAAAAAATATTCTAATATTTTTGTTTTTAGATTTAGACGTTTGGCATATTCGGTGAAGTTTTTTTTTTTGCTTAAAAAAATTATCTTTTGGTAGTTGTCAACATTAGGGTGGTCCTCAAATTATCTGATATATAAAAATAAACGTTCTTATTTTAGAAAATGAAGACGTATGTTTCTTAGCAAAAATGTAGCTAAGACAATGTTAAGCATCTTTTTTTTCTATTTTTGAACGTTCTCATTTTAGAGGATTTTTTCATAATTGAACTAGGGTAAATAACCTTAAAATTTAGTATTTTAGTACTATATCTTATAACTAAATTTTCTATGAGAGACCTTGTTTAAAAATGAACAACAACAAATTAATTTTATAGGAGTTTTAAAAAAATATCTCTAATTTTTCTATCAAATGTTTTCAAAAATTTGTTTTTATTTCTGCCAGAACCAGCGAAATAAACATTCGAAAAGGGCGTATTACCATAAGAAAAACGTCAATAACTCCTGATTGGTTAAAGATATTGACAAGCTCTCCGCGGAAAAATGCGTATTCAAAAGTTCAAAAGAATACCTAAAAACAACTTTGCTAAAAAAAAAGAAATTAAAAAAAATAGAGCAAACAATATTATTTTTAAAGACACCCTAAGTCAATTCAAAAAAATTGTTCGAAATCGGTTGATTCAAGAGATACATTTTTTTTTACAAAGTTACTTAAATTAGTTGAGCATAGATTGAGTAAAAATGTGCTCGAATATGAGTGAAATTTACTCAAATTCAAGAATTTTTACTCAGATTATTAATAACCATGATTTATCTAAAGTGAGCAAACGAATCTCAAATTTGAGCCAAGAACGGCCGTGCGATATTCATTTCAAACCTTCAAATGAATGTTGGCAATGAAATCCCCCCAAATGACGCGGCAGTCTTCCGGACTCAAATTCAATCCAATTAAGCTTAAGCCTCAAAGTTGTATCCTCCGGTATTAACGTCAGTTGCCCTTTTTTCAGCTTGTCTTGCCTTTGCGGTCGCTCAAGCCCCTAGCAAGTCCGGGTTCCGAAGATCTCAAGGAATAACGACTCCAGCACCAAACCCCTATGAGTTCAGGGACGATCGGGATTGTGATCGGGAGACCACCAAAGACGATCCCTTTGCATGTTTGTGCAGTCAACTTAAGCTTAAGCCAGAATCGTGCCAGCAAGAGCTTCAAGCTATGTTGGACAGTCAGCCAAACTTAAAACTATGTATGGATAACCCTAACTATTACCTTGGTAAAAACCAAAAGTGCCACTACGAAAACGTGTACGAGTCCTCGGCTGACCCCGCCGGTAAAGCTATGCAATTTGCTTTGAACCTATTCCGGACAGCTGATCCTAAGAATCCAGAGGAAAACTTCATCATAAGTCCACTGTCCCCTCAAGTCCTGCTGGCCCAGCTGACCGAAGGATGTTCCGAGGAGGCAAAAATGGAAATGGTCAAAGGTCTGCTGTTGAACAGCAATGAAGCAGCATCTCTAGTGAATGCTCTGCATGACGCAGCCAACAAGGACTCCAGTGCCAACAAGCTCGATATTGCTTCGGTCTTTTTCAAATCGGAGAGCGTAACCCTGATGCCGGAATTCCGCCGCGGAGCCAAGATGAATAAAATTCCAATGCAGGACATCGACTTTTCCAATACGTTCGAAGCAGCACGCACGGTGAACGAGTGGGCTAACATGAAAACTCGGGGGAACATCCCCCAAGTTATTACGGAACGTAAGTTGCAAACGGGTCTATAGTTATATGTATAACCATTTAATTTCATCATCTACAGAGAACCTGTCTCCGGATATGGCGATGATGTTGCTGAATGCAATCTATTTCAAGGGTACATGGCAGTATAAATTCAACCAATCGGAAACGGACAGACGAGCCACATTCCAAAAAGCCAATAACAAGAGAATGTCCGTCCACATGATGTCCCAGACAAACAGGCTTCGGTTCGGTGAGATCAACTATGGCATGTACTCCGATGACGAAGGCTTACGCTGGGTTGAACTGCCATACGATGGTGACCAGTTGTCGATGATTTTCTTCCTTCCCAAGGTGCCTCATCAGCTGGACGAGATGTTGAAAATGATGAACGAAACCCATATTCAGAAGATCTTCAAGATGATTCGCCGGGATCACAACCCAGTCAAAATTCATCTGAAAGTGCCTCGATTTACGATCAAGAGCTCCGTTTCGCTGGTTGAACCATTGAAGAAGGTAATTCTGACGAGTATTATTGCATGATTTTTTGGAAAAATAAAAAAATAAATTTGTTTTATCACAGCTCGGCATTCAGAAAATCTTCGAGGAAGACAACTCTCTGTCCAAACTGTTCAAAACACCCACCCGGGTCGGGGACGTCAAGCAGGATGCATTCCTCAGTGTCGATGAAGCAGGTACCACTGCTACCGCCGTCAGCAGAGTGACAATCATCCCTCTCAGCTTGAACTCGTACGAGGACATATACTTCGAATGCAATGAACCGTTCATGGTGATGGTGGTCGACAAGACGCGAGAGATTCCTTTGTTTATGGCTAAGATTAGACAGCCAGAGAAGACGAAGCATTAGATGCGTGGGAGAATGGAGCACCGAGGTCTCTTTCTGTCCCTCTGAACTCAATTATACTATCAGATCAAATAAACTAAGTTGCTTAGTAAGATGGGTGTTGCTGGGTAATCCGAAATGCTAATAATTGTTTTTCGATCGGTTAAATCGGAAATGCTAATAATTGTTTGTCGATCGGTTCGATGATTTTCGGATGTACATATTCCCGTTAACCAATTTCGGTCAGTTTTTCCATACCTTCCTTTAGCCGTGCTTCAAGCGGGTATTCAAGTGACCATCAATTTGGGGATGATGGGGCTTATTACGGATGTCACTTCACGGTGAAAACTTGTCACTTGTCGTCACGGTGAAGTGATTCCCATTTGATTTGTATGGTAATCACGGCTCTTATTCTGCACCGTGTAGTGACGCCCGTAATAAGGCCCGATATAGTAGAGCTATGGAGGAAAACATTCAGATGTCAGATGAGGGGGTTTGAAGGAAAGGGGTGTAGGTGACTTTGATCGATTCTCTTCATCGACTTCCTCTTTCGGTAATAATTCAGCTGCAAACACATTCCTTGATTAATGTGCCATTCTGGATGCTAGATGAGAACCTCCTTTATCAAACTCTGTTTATAAAGCTGTGGCTATCAAAAGAGAAAGTCGATGAAGAGAATCGATCAAACTCACTTACACCTTCTAACCCCCTCATATCAAATATTGTGTTAAGGCCCAAGCGCAATGCCAGCGGAAGCGGAACGGCAGCGGCAGCGGAAAAGCCCGAGCTGAGTAAGCCTACTTGTCGGATTGAAAACTAGTTGAATGTATTAAAGGGTTGGGCAAAGTCAATGGGTGATATACAGGGTGACTGCTAATTCGTGTTACACCCGAAAGGAGGTGAAAGTAGACCACATTTGCAGCAAAAAAATGGTAGGGTTTTTGATCTAATTTCCGCCCTACTAAGGACATCCCGCACTTTACCACGCTTTTTGTAAAGCGTTTGAACAAAACATGGAATGTTTTCATCAAAGATAACTTCTAAATTTATCCACCTTTCCATACGTACCGTTGGATTTGATAAACAGTTAAACAATGTTGAGATATTATTAAAAATCTAACACTGCTTCTTGCTTCTAAATTCGTCCTACGGGTTTCAATTCCGTCCAAACGCATTGAAATGCCATTAGATTTTCTTCGTCCTACGGATAAACGGAGGAAAAGGGGATGCGCTAGGAGCGCTTCTTTTGTTTTGAGAACAATGAGCGTAAATATGCATACAACGCGCTCTAATAGGATTTATGTCGTAGCTAATGAACTAACGCATCGGAACAAACGTATTATTGTTTTGTGCATGGTGAAATCATTGATATTATTGATGATTTCTGCTCGATAGAACGGAAATGGGCGATTACGACGAAGTAGCGCTCTTCCCTATGGCAAGGTAAGTTGAAAAATCATTCCTTACCGATTTATTGATCTTTTTATTTTATATTGCAGCACTACCACTCGTTCACTCGCGAATAACAAAGCCCTTCAGGTAGTAAGCATTGCTACTATGATCAATCTTTGTTTACTAACCACTCTATTCAATTAATCATTTTGTTCGACCATTTTCCACAGAGATGGCACTGTTCCGCTGGTAGGAAGTGGTAAAAATCCCCATATAGAAATTGAGAGAAGTGGGAATAATTCGCTTTCGGTGCATATTCAGGTCAAAAAAAGTGAACGACAACCTAAAGAAATTAATCAGGGACTTTGTCGTTTAGTTTTTTCCCGGAAATTATTGTTAAGCAAGCTACAATTAAATAAAAATACCTGCTTTACTACCAGTCCCCAGAGAGCCAAAAAAAATTCAAATTTGAGAGAGAAATTCTCTCTTACGAGCTCAATCTCTCAACATGCCATGTATTTTGTTGACACTCGATTTGTGATTTCCCTTTCACAGATTACAAAATAGAGTACCTGACACTATAAAACATGTCTGGTACCTCTATATATGCATTTGCTTTAACATTTGAAGTCCCTCCTTTTTTACATATTCTGCGCAAAAGATACTTTATGCCCCGCCCCATACATAAAATTCGGCGGGAAATTCTGTGAGGGGTGAGCTATTTTATGTGCAGAATGTGTAAAAAAAGGAGGGACTTCGAATAATAATCTAAATGCATATATAGAGGTACCAGACATATTTTGCACTGCAGTGTCCTCTGTGAACAACTATAGGAAAACAGATTGTGTCTAGTTTCTGATAGATGTCACCGTAAACAACAGCTGTGACATCTGATGGAACAGAAATGCAGAAGCTTGACAAAATGATCAATTGGCGAAACAGGCTTTCTTTCGGATGGATTTGATCAGATTCTAACCGTTTAATGCTACATTTTAATGTAATAGAAACAGAAATTTGAGAACGTCAGTGGAGGTCGGTCGGCCAGGACATCACAGCAGAGACAGACCTAGTCGGCCCAAATGCCCCTAATTTGAGCCCATACATAAATTCAGCAATCGATTAAATTTTCAATTGCGACCAAAAATATCCATTAAAGGGTGTCCACGATGAAATTGCCACACACAAAATTGATTCGCAAAATTCGAGTTTTCATCCGATTGCCATCAAATTTTCAGGGATTGAGAAATAACTATTAAACTTCATTTTACCATTTTACTCGTATTTTATTTACAGTCCATACGCAAATGCCCGCACCTTGGCCTTAACCCCGGCCATAAGATTCTGCACAACCTGTGAATCAACCGTTTTTTGCATGTAAACCCATACTTTCTTCAGTTCCTCGACTGTCTTCACTACCTTAGGTCGTTTAAGAAGGTGCTGCTTCATAATCGCCCAGTACTTCTCGATGGGGCGGAGCTCCGGAGTGTTGGGAGGGTTGAACATTTTCGGCACGAAATTGACCTTATTGTCCGCATACCACTTCAGCACGTCCTTGGAGTAGTGGCATGAGGCCAAATCCGGCCAGAAGATTTTTGGGACGTTGTGGGCCTTCAGGAGAGGAAGCAGCCGCTTCTGGAGGCACTCTTTTATGTACACCTGTCCGTTCATCGTGTCCTGGGTCACGAAAGGTGCACTCCGCTTCCCGCACGTGCAGATGGCTTGCCAAACCAGGAATTTCTTCGCAAATTTGGACATCTTCTGAGTGCGGACATGCTCCGGAACGCTGAACTTATCCTTGGCCGTGAAAAACAGGTTGCCGGGGATCTGTTTGAAGTCGGCCTTCACATATGTTTCGTCGTCCATGATGCAGCATTCAACTTTCGTCAGCATGTTGAGGTACAACTTCCTGGCACGGGTTTTGGCGGACTTGTTCTGCTTCTCGTCGCGATTAGGGGCCTTTTGTACCTTGAACGTTCGAAGCACAGCCTTAGTTTTGGCCTTCTGGACAAAACTTCGGCTTAGGTGCAGCTTCTTAGCCACATCCCTAACGGAGGCGTTCGGATTTCGGTTGAAGGCCCCAACTACGCGGTTGTGATTTTTGGTGTTGTACGGAATACTTTTTCCTTCACTTCTGGGCTTCCGATCGGTGGTCAACCGTTCCTCGAACCGCTTAATCACTCGCGACACCGTGGAATTCGCGATTCCCAACGTTTTAGCGATGGAACGATGCGAGAGATCCTTGTTCTCGTGATGAATGCGCAAGATTTTATCACGCACTAGCTGTTCTTTCGACTCCATTTCCGCGAGTTTTGAACACAGGACTTTAAAACTGTAAAAATGTAAATAATGCACTATGAACTAAATCCACCCAAATTTTCATTAAATTCTACCCAACGGTTAAAAAGTTAGAGCAATTTCATAGTGTGGCAATTTCATCGTGGACACCCTTTAGTACTGTCCCAATGACGCGTTCATCTAGATAAAATTGATAAATTGCAAATTTTTAGCGATGGGCCCAATCTTCGATAGGTCAACATTAGAGCCATTTCCCCTATACACTAAGATAAAAAAAAATAATTTTTTTCTGTCTTGTTAAAATCGATGAACATTATAGATGACATCATTTAAAGAAACTTTGTTGAACACGACAATTTTCTATCTCTCAACTGGACGAAGTTATAGGGTGAAAATGGAGTACAAACGGTACTGATGAATTTACGTTACGGTCGACCAGCAGATGGAAATGATGAGAAAATGATAATGACGTTTTGCTACCTGTCAAATCGCATGGAATATTTTTTAGTACATCATCACTTTTGTGGTTTTGTATTTCAAACCTAGGTGTCGCATGCCCTGGTGCAGTTTCGCGTAGATTCATCAATAACTTTGCAACGCTTTCTTCAAAGGGGTGTATCTTGCAGCTAATCTCAACGTTATTTTGTTTAAAGTCTTATACCCTACTAAGTGGATAGCAGCACACATGTGCAAAATCAGTCAGTAACCAGCTCTAAATTTACCACGCCTCAGTTCTGGGCCAACCTTCCTTCCCTTAAACGGGCCACGTGGTACGAGATGGTTTTATCACAGGTGGGCAGGAGCTCACGGTCTCCCAGTGTTGATGAGTTCTTTGCCGTTAATGTTCACGAAAAGTTCACAATTTTGCCATACAGAAATTCATAACAAAAAAATTTGTGGTCGGATTTGGACAGTTTTTGACCTGTATCATACGACTGGAAGGTGTATGCTGGTCGCAAATGCCGTGCCGAACTGATTTCCTACGCAATTAATCAACCTTTGATGTGAATTTCGCTAATTAACACGAGGAGTATTTCTTATAGCAAAACTTGCCATAAGAAAATGGGCATAGTTCATTTTAGTAAACAAACTAACACTTCTTCCTTGTGTGTCACATTTGTTGAAGCTCCTAGCACGTCGCATATGATGTAAATACCGAAGAGTTTTGTAACCACACTAATACAACACTCTTGCAATCATTTACAGGGTGTTCAATAAGCTCGAATACACTGTAAAATGTGTTTAAAAAAATTAAAATACAAGATTTTCTTTTCTGAGTCAATTTTGATTAAAGCAATGTTTATTAAGAACCTTTACGACATATTAGCTGGGAGCACCCCCCCCCCCCCCCTTTGTGATGTATGACGAGCTTGAGACGTTTCTCAAAAGAATCGCACGCGGGGCACGCACCTGATCCATCGGCATCTCAGCCCATATCTGCTTGGCCAGCATGCCAGGGGATTTAGGTCCAGGGAGCTGGAAGGCCACAAAGTCTTATAGAAAAAATAAGTCAAGTTCTCCCGACACCACGCTTGGACGATATTGCGCCGTCCTGTTGCAAGACAAAGAGCTTCCCATCAGAAAACACCAACTCCTGACCTGCGTGCAGCGAAAGTATCAGTTTGGCTCTATTCAGCCTCTTCTTCGTTGTACACACCAAATTTAAATCGCTGAAAATCAGCAAAATTTTGTTGATTTTAGACTTGATGAAAGATCAGCAAACTTTCCCAGCAAAATATTTCTGCTGAATTTTCCAGCAATTCCAACTTCTGTCAAACTTAAAATATTTGACTGAAAATCAGCAAATATGTCAGAAATATTTCTTTACTGATTTTCAGCAATAAACAATTTTGACATTTGGCAGCATTTTGCTGATTAAACTATTAAACTCAGTAAATCGAAATTGTTTTCACTAGGGACTTCTAGCTTCTGTAAAAGATCGTTTGTACCAATAATAAAGACAAAATCGCCAGGCTCTTTTCCATGTATAATTTATTAAATATAATCAGTGTCCGAGCCAGTGTCCTTACCTACATAATTTGCAGTTTTTTTCGCCTCCTGCGGTGTGGAAGGATTTGCACAAATGCAAAATACTTGCGACTGTGATGCTATCAGTTTGACAGCTCTTAACTGGGTGTCCAGCAATCGTTTATGTTGGCTGAATTTCTCGGTAAAAATATCGTTTGCTGTTTTTCAGTAAAGTATGTGATTGCTGATCATGATCCAGCAATTTGTTTTACTGATATTGAAAACTTAAATTTGGTGTGTAGCCTCCGTTAACGCGTGAACCTTGCGTTTCTTGTGCGCCTTGTATCCCAGGTCCTTCGTCATGATGGTGTGGGCAGTCCCGATCGACACATCCAGGTCAGCAGCGGTCTTCCGGATCGAGCGGTTCATTTTTTGACGAACCCGCTCCCTCACCACCTTGATGGCTGCTGGCGTCTTCGTCGAACGCGGCCACCAGGATCTGGTACCGACGGATGGTGGTATGATGAAAATCTGTTTTTTTTTTTTTTTTTTTTAGTTTAAATGATCTTTATTTCAGTTTAACTTGGACGATTACCATATAAATTTTTTACTAAGTGATTTAATTGCTTTCTTCATCTTTAGGTATGGGCAAAATTCAAAATTTGTTTTACAGAATTAGTCCTAGACTTAGTACACGGTCGACCACCTTGGTGGGATTGGTTTGTTTTGTTTTTAGAATTTGAAGAGAAACTACTTAATACTACTATTTACAGCTTAAAACTAACCTACTCTACTATATACACTTAACCTACTATGTACAAATTGCTTATTAAAGCATGTTCAGAAAGATTGCATTTTTGAATAAATTTGGTTGTCATATCATCAATTTTGGAATCTACTTTGGGAATTTCTGCCTCTTGATGGAGGTCTGCTATTCTTGTGTCGAATGGACGATCTAGGATCATCCTCAACACTCTATTCTGTGCAACCTGGATTTTGTTCCTGTGGGTCTGAGCGCACGATTCCCACACCGGGGCGGCATAGAAGATCGCGGGGGCTATGATCTGTTTGTAAACAGCCAGTTTATTTTGCCTTGAGAGGCGGGATCTGCGGCAAATGAGCGGATACAAACACCTAACCAAGGCGGAGCACTTAACTAGGGTTTTCTCTATGTGCGAGCGGAACAGGAGCTTCTCATCGAACAACATCCCGAGATAAGTAACATCAGTGGACCACTCGACCCTTGTACCATCCATTATTACGGTACAGGAGGGAGACGGTTTAAGTTTTGGTGATTGTCTGTGAAGGAACATGATCGCTTGGGTTTTCGAGGCGTTGATTTTGATTTTCCACGTGGTGGCATAATCAGTAAAGGTGTCAAGGCATCGTTGGAGCTTGTTCGTAATTTCACGAGGCATCCTACCCTTGACGGCTATCGCGGTGTCATCTGCGAACAGAAAGAACACGCAACCGTCTCCTAGAGGAGGGATGTCCGACGTGTAGATGCTGTAAAGCAGTGGTCCCAGCAGACTCCCTTGCGGAACACCTGCTGGGATCGGAAATTGTCCCGAAAGAGAACTATTCAACGACACCCTGAACGACCTTTGCTGGAGATAGTTACGGGTGATTTTCACAAGGTATGGTGGAAAGTTGGAGTTACAAAGCTTGTATATAAGTCCGTCGTGCCAGACATTGTCAAACGCCTTTTCGACGTCTAACAAGGCCATGGCTGTGGACTTGGATGCAGCTTTGTTACTTCGGATGTTATTCATCACCCGCACTAGCTGATGATTGGTGGAATGCCCCTTGCGGAACCCGAACTGTTCCGGAAGAAGAATGTCATGTTCCTCCACAAACTTGTTTAGTCGGCTGAGGATCAATTTTTCGAACAGCTTGCTCAGCGCTGAGAGCAGGCTAATCGGTCTGTAGCTGTGATGAAAATCTGCTTCACCCCGTGGGATTTAAACCGCCGGAATATGTCGCCGGGTCTCTCACCTCTCTCAAGCAACTTTAATACGACGTCACGGTACTCCTTTATCGTGCGCGGTAAACAAACAACAAATCTAGACCAACAATTGAAATAGGCGGAACAACCAAACGTAAACAATGGCTTTAAACGCAAATTCAAGAACAACATGTGAAAAGGGCATAAAAGCTTTTTGTTAACAAACCTTCTTATGCCCTTTTTTTCGCGACCCATGTGACACTAACGCAAACCATCAACATCACCGGGTAGGCGAAACTTTCCCGTTCCCGATGATGTTGTTAGTTTACGTGGGCGACCCTCGATTGGCGAGAAAAGGGTTTACAAAGATTTGTTTACAAAAAAAAGCTTGTATGCCCTTTTCACATGTTGCTCTTGAAATCCTCGAGAATCAAACCACTCTCACGCAAACTAACCGTGCCATTCAATAAAAAAAAGTTTGCTCTATTAGATGGTGGTGTTAGATTGCTTCGATGTGTTTTGATTATCGAGGAATTTGAGTTTAAAACCATTGTTTAGGTTTGGCTGTTCCGCCTATTTCAATTGTTGGTCTAGAAATAACAGCATGTTGACACCGTGCGCGTCGGTTAGCCAATCCAGAATCACTGGATATAGCGGCTTGCTTTCGTTTTTCTTCCACTTCGGAATCAGCCGAATCAGAACGGCCGCTTCTCGACGGAGACCGCGATCCAGAGTTTGATCGAGTTGATTTTTCAGGGTGGATTTGACCTATTAGGGATACAATTTCCTCTTTTAGTCTAGAAATGTTTATAATACTATTTGAGTAGTAACTTACCGGAGAATGTGACCTAGAGCAAGGTCCACTTCTGGACTTAGTGGGATTTCCTTTTTGCAGTCTGTTCGTCGGAGTTCCACTGATTTTGTAGTAGCTGAAACAGTGATTTCACAGACAAACAGACATATCACTCACAAATTGTTCATCGAACAAGCATTTAACGGTCAATTAAAAAGTGTCTCAGTTGGTAGTACTGCCACCTGTGGCGTGCATAATCATTTCCCTTGCGTTTGATGTTTACACACTACCGCCATCTGTTCAGCGTACTACCTACCACAGTGTACTCAACAGATGGCGGTAATGTTTTAGCGACGATGTTTTACAATGAGAAATATTCAATGTGTTATGTCTGTTTGTCTGTGGTGATTTGGTAATATCCCGGATGAATTACGCGTTGCACATCGTTGGAGCGACATGATGAAAAACAGACACACATACGAGCACACATACGAAGTTTTGTGATTGTTGATGATGTGTGCGGTGCACTAACCGCAATTCCCTAAATAATGTATGTTCTTGATCAGACTGTCCAACTGCGATTTCTCGTGGGGTTTCATAAGGAAGTGTTGGTTCGACGTGCCAATTTGCTTAAACAAATGATTTTTTTTTTAAGTAGAACAAACTGCATTTCTTTTGTTTTTTTTTTTTTCCTTTGTATACTAGGAACTTATTACACGCCTTTATTCAGATTTAGTATAGTTTTTAATGAAATTTTAATCGGATCAATGTATAAACATTGCTAAACCATAAAATGATTAAATTTTAATCTGTCTTTGTACAGTAATATTTTTGAGTGTAAGCCTTCTACACGGCTAATTCAGATTCCAGCACTAGTAGGGGAACTGGGGGGTAAAATGAACAGGTGGGGTAAAATGAACATGTAGTGGAATCACGGCAAAAATAGTTAAATTCAGAACCACATTATCAGCTACCCTATCCGAAGAGTATTTTAAGCTGTTTGAAACACCCTGTACTAATCAAGACCTGTCAAATAAGAATAAAAAAAAATAAAAACAAAAACACCGGCTCGATTCGAACTGTGAAAGTTATTTACGGTCGCAGAAAATAAGTTTTTTGAAAGTGAAAAATCAAAATCTAACCAAATATAGCCATCAGTTTCGTTAACTTGACGTATTCCTGCGGATTTATCGAAGATTGTAAGTCTTTTCATCAATAATTCGTTTAAAATTAGCACTCGAAAACAATTAATGCTCTGGGGGTAAAATGAACAGTTCATGATGGGGTAAAATGAACAGTGTATATAATCACGGATTATTTTCAGATGCCTCGGGTTTATAAAAGAAAAACGCAAAGGCAAACATGGACAAACACACAAATGGCAGGGCAAAACATGCCGTTGGATGCGGAATGTCTGTAAGAGCTGCATCTATCAAATACCAGATCCCAAGGATCACGCTCACCAGGCGGATAGCTTCACCGCAGAAGAAGAAACGCCTAGGATCGAAAACATCGGTGTTCTCTACTGAACAGGAAATGGAACTGGTACAACATTTACTTGATCTGGAGTCCCGATTCTATGGCATCACTATGAGAGATGTTAAAATGCTGGCATATGAGTTAGCTGAGCGGAACGGCTCACCTCATCCGTTCAGTCACAAACTAAAGATGGCAGGTAGAAACTGGCTAGAGGGGTTTCTTAAGCGGAATAAAACCCTTTCCTTTTGGAAACCTGAAGCTACATCTGCGGATCGAGCAAGACGTTTTAACAAAGTTTCCGTGGGTGCTTTTTACGACATTCTTGGTGACGCATTGGACAAGTTCCATGAACTCATATCATGTAGTCGTTGTTTTATTGCACACAGGAGCATTAAGAAAGATTTGAATACACGACACCACCGAAACGGAACATAAATTTGTCAGTGCTATTTTTATTCACTCTAGCAAAACGAGCATATCGGAAGAGCGGTTCTTACTTCATGCTAATTGAACGAGCTCAATTTTGAAGTCAGCCGTGGCCCAGTGGAATCGAGCGCAGACACCGAAAGCATCACACCTCAACAGTTCTGGATCGAATCCCAAATAAACTACAATAAAAAAAAGACACAACTGTGAAAGCTCCCTCTGCCTGATGTTTATTTTTCGATTTATTTTTAGAAATCGATTAAATATATGTGTCAAAAGAAGAAGTAAATTTCATAAATTTCACATAAACTTTACTTTGATTGATTTATGACACATATCGATTCAAAGCAGGAGACAACTCTATAGCCCTACGTTGCACAGTAGCTGAGCTTCTCAGGTCCAAGTTCACCGATTTCACCCACCGGTACACCGATGGTTCCCGATCCAACACGGGCGTTGGCATCGGAGTATCCGGAAGTGGCATACTCGTCAGCAACAGCCTACCACCGCAGTGCTCCGTTTACTCGGCAGAAGCGGCCGCGATCTTCCACGCGGCCACTTCACCAGCTAATCAACCAATTCTCATTTTAACAGATTCGTACAGCGCTATCCAGGAGCTCTGCTCGGCAACTCCCACCCACCCGTGGATTCAGGCTACTGTCAAGTACGCACCCAGTAATACCGTTTTTGCGTGGATACCCGGCCACTGCGGAATTCCCGGAAACGAGGCAGCCGACCAACTCGCTGGAACTGGACCGTCGGGTCCCAGATTCACCGACAAAGTTCCCCTCCAGGACGTCAAACGGTGGATTAAGGCCACCGTTCGGAAGGCATGGACCGACCAATGGGCCAGCACTCGAGGGCCTTTCATCCGGAAAATCAAGGGAACCACGGAGGCATGGACGGACCTCCGAAACCTACCAGACCAGAGGATACTCTCGAGGCTGAGAACTGGACACTGCCGTCTATATCTCAACTTCGGCGGAGGACCCTTCCGCAGGAGCTGCACTATCTGCCACCTTCCGGCAACCGTCGAACACCTACTGTGTGTCTGCCCGGAATTCCAGGACCTCCGGGAGACTTACGGGATTACCTCCAGCATCCGGAACCTGCTCGGAGAGGACTCGCCTGCTGCCGACGCCCTCCTGGTATTCCTGAGGGAGGCGAATTTGTATCATAAAATTTAGTCCGTTTTTGTAGTCAGTTGCTAGTTTCAGTTTTTTGTTTGTTTGTATTCTGCTAGCTGTCGGGACGGCACCGGACGGGATGAGCCTTTGGACCTCGTCACGGTGTCGTCTCGTTCAGGTCATCGTTCCATGTGTTTTAACTTGTTTTTTCGCGAAGAGCCAGGAAAGCTGTATTTTACAGTTTTCAGTAGCAGGAGGGACACCACATGGGATGAGTCTTTGACCCTCATGATGGTGGTCACCCTAGATAGTCATCAAGGTAAACGATCAAATTGTTATTCTAAAACTCTGTCAAACAACTCCGTAGGAGGTTCTCCTTCTGAGGCCTCACACATGACTAAAGAGATGAACTAGCCTCAGGCTAAAAATCTCTATAATAAAGGAAAAAAAAAAAAAAAAAAAAAAAACACATATATTATATTGTGTTGAAAAGTAAAGCTTATGCCTATAGGTTTCAAATCCATTTCAGTTATTTATTATAATTTGACCGATTTTTATTTATCATATGACGATCATATAAAAGTTACCAAATTATCAGCATTGTAAATGTATCAGATATTCATACAGAATTTACCTGACACATTTTCAATCATATCATTTTCAATGGATTATCTTATAGCGCAAATTTATTAGACTTCCACATAACAGGAATATGTCATATTGGTTCATTATACACTAGTCGTCAATATATTTAAAATTAAAACACATATTTTAACATTTTTTCTGTAATTCCATATTACTCGAACACAGTAGGCTGTGGAGTTTTGACGTCTTAAGAAGAGTTTTTTTTTTATCAAGATAAACAACTGTGCCTTAGTCACCAAGTCTTCAAAACGCAATTTCGATGCATTAAAAAAGTTATAGAAAAACAAACATGTTCCACTAAAATGATAAATCTCAAAAACACCCAAATAAACCTCTTTCAAATTTTGATATTTTGATTACCGAGTATTGCTAATTTTTTGCTGAAAATGTCAGGTAGCGATTGTTTGCACTTTGAGAGATAATAAAGTTCAAAAATAGCTAATTTTTAAAAATGACATTTTTAAAATTTAAAGCTCAAACCAGTATGTTTCTTCACAAATGCTATTTATTTAATGCACTTGCATAGGAGAAAAATATAACATTATATGATTGGTAGCAACAACAAAACCAAAACAGAAAGAAAAATCATATTTTCGACATTTTTCTTTAAATTCATATAACTTGGAACCAGTAGGCTGTGGAAATTTTACCGAAGCCACCAAGTTGCGGAAATGCTTCGTTTTGCAGTTATTAATTTTGCTCCGCTAGATTAAAATCCTGGCCCAGTGTACACTGGTATAAGCCATGATGCGTCTCCATTAAATATTCAAATCTGGTGCTTACATCTGATAGTCGAATTTTCCCAATATTCTACTAGGGCCTTGCATTGAGAATCCCTTTCTAGAACCACCCTACTAAACGAACCCGAACCGCCGAAGTCCTTTTCGCTTTCAGGATCACTCACAGCATCTCACAACGTATCATTTTTCCCACCTCACTGTACAGTCCTCAGTAACTTCTTGTTACACCCATACAAGCACGAACGCCGACAACGACAACGACGACGGCGGCCGGCATCGCAAACTTGGCAAAGCAGCCACACACCACCACCAACACTTGGATTGCCATCATCATCACCGTCGGGGTTTCCACCCGTTGGTTCCGTGTTTTCACTTTCACTTCGTTGTCGGCCACAGCCGGGTGCGAACGTGCTTTTCCGACCTTCTTCCGGTGGTGTTTCGTTCGAATTTTCCGCCAACTGCCGAATTTGGCGCGCCGCGCACTTGAACGTGTTTCGGAACATTTTGCGGTTTGAAAGTGAAAGTGAAACCGATCCTATGCTTTGTTGGAAATTGTGTGTCTGTTAATTGTGATGAATGTCATTGTTTCATTTGACTGTCTAGAGTGGGGTACTTAACCGAGGTTTTAGGCAAATAAATCAAATTCATTACGCACTTTGAAGTTTGGTTGATGTGTATGAAGGATCGTTCTACCCTCGTCTCCGTCTGATTGGGATGGAAATTGTCGCCCAAGTACTTACTTATGTGACAAATTGTGTCACCGAAAGGCATAGTGGAAGTAAAACAAAAAGAAGTTCTCCACAAGATATAGATCAAGTTTTGCCCATTGTCATTGGTATTATTTGCGTAATAAGTGAAGTGAGGCTGTGTGCTCCGCCGTGATTGCAAAACAAAAGGCGGATCTAAGGAAAGAATTTCTGAAGAGTTTTTTTGTGTGTGTGCGGTTCCGCTGTTTATGTACCCAGATTGTGGTAAACAATTTGCCAAACAAGAGGTCCCCGGTCGCCGTTCGTCATCGGTGGTATTTGCGGGGAGTTTTAATACTTTGGCGGACGAAAGGTAGAGAGGAATATTAGCCCGTGGAGGTGGGATTTAATCTGGAGTGCATTTGTTTTTCCGCACTGGAATATATGATCGACTTTGTTCGCGGCTTGTGGAAGAAAGCGTTTGGATTTTTTTTTTGCTGGAGATCAAACAGGTAGGTGAAGCAGGTATTATACACTTGTTGACATATATTTGCTGCAATGAAGATTGGAAAGTTGTTATTCGCTGCTTATGTTTTTTGTCACTATTTATGTCAGTCAATGGCATCCGTCTGTTTGTTGGTCATTCGGTTGGCGAATCATTTTGAACTGAAGAAATGGAAGAGCTGTGTAAAAGCTATTAAATTTTGCGATTCATAAAAATATGCTGGGATGTAGTCATAACATTTTTTTATGATTTACTTGACTTGACGAAGAAGTTGCAATTTTGCTACATATTGTCTTCAAAAGGGGATTGATATAAAAAAAATGCTACTCTAATGGCAGCGCTGAGATTTATCATTGTCATTGACAGACTTTCGCGCTATATTACCGAAATTGTTCGCCACACGAGTGATCAAAGCAGAATTTTAAATATCGCCGTGTATTTTCGAGATTTTGCAGCACTGCCTAATGGTGCTTAACAATGTTTGCAGCTTTATTCACATTGGCGTGATTTCTGCTGATATCTTAATCATCTACCCGAGTCATGTTTAATTTTAATTTTATTTGTTGTTAATCAAATGTAGACCGTTGCAACGCATTGTGTTACAATGATAATCACATTTCATGTCTTATTTCTAAAAAAAACAATTACAGGGTGTCGACTGCCTGTTAAATCAGAGAATGGGAATTCATTTTTGAACCTGGAAAATCAGGGAGTCTCTGAGAATTTCATTCAAATCACGGGAAATATTTCATAATCACGGAATCTTATTAATAAGTATGACTGACTTCACTAGCTTATAACAACTTAATTACTCGGTGTTGTTTTAGGATAGTTGTTTATTTCAAATTTTAAATAGTCTTGCAAACGTGGGTTGCTCAAAGTTTGATGTTGCATTTTTGTAAGATGAGCAAAAATTGCTCAAATAAAAGAGTTATTTTTATGGTTTTGAACTTAATATAAATTCAACTTCCACAGACACACTCCAGATTTAATAAAAATCAATTACCCTAGACGTTGTTATTTGTTGTAAAATATAACCTCCAAATGGGTATGTGCGTCTTTTCATAGACGTTACACCAAATTTCGACCTTCGAGTAGATTGGTGCGTTTGCTCGATCCTGATGTGTCCAAAAAAACTCAATCCTTTGAGTACATATTGGAGCGTCTTTGAGTAAACGCACCACAAAGTAAAAAATATGTGTCTAACATTTTGCGATACGGAACAAAACTACAATTTTTACGAAATTCTGAGAACCACTATGTCGCACAGTGGTGCCAAGGGTATCAAAACACGCGCTTTTTATTTACGCCGAAATGTTTTTTTTTTAACTCTATTTGTTCCAAATTCAAAATAAATTACATTTCATTTTAACCTAGGTGCTCCAGTTACTGCAGTAACGTACCAGCCTTAATTGTTATGATATATATCTAAGTGTTTTTACATTGTTCTTGTCTTGGCAATTCAGTATTTTAAACAGGTTTTTTAAACCTGCATGTCAGTATAACAATTGATATCTTAAAACTAAAAACTAAAACTAAATCTTATCTAAGTATAAAGGGAATTAATCGTTGCAATTGAGGATTGCAACGATTTTTGCCTGGAATTATTAATTATTTTGTTGGACATTTGTTCTAAAGTCTCAACGTTCGAAATTCTATGTACCTCGGTAGTACTGTACTAGGGAGGTAACTTCAAAATCATTTTCAGAACTTTGTTCTGAATCCTTTGAAGTGCTTTTTTCCTGGTAGTGCAGCAACTAGACCATATTGGCACAGCGTAAAGCATGGCCGGTCTAAAAACTTGTTTAAATATTAGAAGTTTATTCGTCAGGCAAAGTTTGGATTTCCTGTTTATAAGAGGATACAAACATTTAATATATTTGTTACATTTGGCTTGAATGCCCTCAATGTGATCTTTAAAAGTTAATTTTTGGTCAAGAACTAATCCAAAATATTTCACTTGGTTTGACCAGTAAATTGGAACTCCATTCATAGTGACTATGTGACTACTACTAGGTTTCAAAAACGAAGCTCTAGGCTTATGTGGAAATTTTATAAGTTGAGTTTTGGATTCGTTGGGAGAAATCTTCCATTTTTGTTAATGAAAAGAGAAAATATATAAACTTTTCTGCACTCTGCTGCAAATAACACGAAGACTTCTTCCTTTAGCGGAAATGCCTGCGTCATCAGCGAACAAAGATTTGTGGCAATCCTGATGCAAATCAGGGAGGTCCGAAGTGAAAATGTTATACAATATAGGCCCAAGAATGCTACCCTGAGGAACTCCTGCTCTAACAGGTAGTCGATTAGATTTGGAATTTTGATAATTTACCTGCAGAGTTCTGTCAGTTAAATAATTTTGAACTAATTTCATAATATAAAGTGGAAAATTAAACTTTTTCAATTTAGCAATCAAACCTTCATGCCAAACACTGTCGAATGCTTTTTCTATGTCTAGAAGAGCAACTCCAGTTGAGTGGCCTTCAGATTTGTTTGAACGAATTAAATTGGTAACTCTTAAGAGTTGATGAGTAGTTGAATGCCCATGGCGAAATCCAAACTGCTCATCTTCAAAAATTGAGTTCGTATTGATGTGAAGCATCATTCTATTTAAAATCATCTTTTCAAAAAGTTTACTTTTTGAAGAAAGCAAACTTATTCGACGGTAGCTAGAAGCTTCAGCTGGATTTTTATCCGGCTTCAAAATTGGAACAACTTTTGCATTTTTCCATTTATTAGGAAAGTATGCCAAATGGAAACATCTGTTAAATAATTTTACCAAGAAAGACAAGGTACTCTCTGGGAGTTTTTTGATGAGGATATAGAAAATCCCATCATCACCTGGAGCTTTCATATTTTGAAACTTTTTAGTTATAGACCTTACTTCGTCCAAATCAGTCCCCCAGGAATAATCAAAAATATTTTCCCGAGAGAAAATATTCAGAAAATCCCGAGCAACCTGATTCTCAATAGGACTAGTAAGACCCAAACTGAAATTATGGGAACTCTCGAATTGCTTAGCAAGTTTCTGAGCTTTTTCCAAATTTGTGATCAAAATTTTACCACCTTCTTTAAGCGCTAGGCTTTTGAGGTTTTTTCAAAAATTTTGTGAGCTTCCAAAAGGGTTTGGAACTCGGGTCTAATTTAGAAATATTATTTTCAAAAGTTTTCTTCGTCAGGGCAGAGAATCGCTTTTTAATTTGTTTTTGCAAATCCCGCCAGATAACTTTCATGGCAGGATCGCGTGTTCTTTGAAATTGTCTCCTACGGACATTTTTAAGACGGATCAAGAGCTGAAGATCATCGTCTTTTATAATTGAATCGAATTTAACCTCGCATTTTGGTATTGAGGCAGCTCTTGCTTCAACTATAGAAGTAGTCAGAGATTCAAGAGCATAATTAATTTCATCTTTGGTTTGCAAGGAATGTTTAGATCGAAGTTATATTCCATAAATGTTCGATACTGCTCCCAATCAGCTCTATGATAATTGAAAGTAGAGCTGTTGGGATTAGAAATTATTTCTTGGGATATTTCAAAAGTTACCGCCACCACAGGGTCCATCAAGACGATCATTTCTATAAATCAAGTAATTTGCGTCCTTCTTAACCTTATGGTCAGGTTTAATGAACGTTTCAGTTATAACGGCAATATGCACGTTATGAACTCTCAAAAAGTTAAATAGCTCGTCTTCATTATCTTTAAGAGATCGAGCATTCCAATTAACAATATTTAATGCTTTAAAATCCATTACTGAATTTTAATGTCATGACAATATTATTTGCAAATTTTACTCCAGTTTGAATAGCATCAAACATGGAGTTAGATTTAAGCATATCAGAAATCATGTCAATTAATGATTTCTGTAAAAATTCCTTTTTAGGGGCAGTAATGCTTCCTAAGTCAAAATTGTCAAAATTTCCGTTAGAATTACTTTGGTTAGTATTTTGATTTCTACCCGCTGCAATAGCAGCATAGGTAGCTCCATTAATCGCTCAACATTGTTAGCAGCGAGGGGAGTAGGTACAGATGAAAAATTTGAAGCAGGGGTGATATTTGTACCTACGGGTTCGAATGTAGAATTTGTTCCTCGCTGACCGTTGTTAACAGCAGAGGAATTTGTACTTGGCCGGAAACGTGGAGCGTTTCGTACCTGTCGGTTAGAACGAGATTGTAGGATCGCTTTGCGAGTCTTACATTCCCAAAAATTGGATTTGTGGTTTTCACCACAATTTGAACATTTAAATTTCTTAGAATCTTCCTTCACAGGACAGTCGTCCTTTGTGTGAGAGGAATCACCACAATTCATGCATTTAGCTGGCATGTAGCAATTTTTAGTTCCGTGACCCCATCCCTGGCACTTACGGCACTGAGTGAGGTTTTGGAAATTTCCTCCAGTCTTCCTGAAGTGTTCCCACTTCACTCGGACATGGAGCAAAAGGCTAGCTTTTTTCTAAGGCCTTAAGGTTGTTTAGTTCACTAGACTTGAAGTGAACTAAAAAAAATCATTAGAAATCCCGTTGCGCGAATCGCCAGGACGGGATTTTCATTTTGATTACTTGGAGTGGCACAACTCCAAGTAATTTTGCCAGTTCATCTTTGATCTGATCCAGGGATTCACCACTGGGCAGTCCTTTCATGAAAACCTTGAACACACGTTCAGTTTTGGTGTCGTAAGTAAAAAAATTGTGATGCTTCTTAGTAAGATACTTGAGAAGACATTTAAATCCGTCCAAGTTTTCAGCCAATACACGGCATTCACCCCGACGTCCAATTTGTAGAGAAAACTTAACTTTCACGAAGCTCAAAAGTTCCATGCGAAGAGCATGGTAATCGGGAGTTGTTATCACAATAGGGGGAATCTTTTCCTTCTTGGCAAGCCGGGAAAGTTTACTAGAATTTTTCTTGGATGATGGATCATTCTCATCATCCGTGAGCAAATCAAATTGATTACTCAAATTAATTTCTTCAGAAGGGGGGTCAAGAGTTTGCCCCTTTCTTTTGCGTTTAGGCGCCATGGCGGCAGTAAATTTTTATCCAAATCGACTTCCAAGCAGATTACTATAAGAATCTGAAGGATCGAAGAGGAATTTTCCAAATCGATATCCAAGAAGGATTACCTCGGGTAGGGTCCAAACAAGGATCGAAGAGGAATAAAGTTGAACAAGGTAGAAATTTTACAGGTTGAGCACTGAAAAGTGCTGTTTAAATTTGTTGTAGCTTTAGGTAGTAGTAACACTTCCTTCAGCAAAAAGCAAATAGATCCGCACGGCAAGAGAGCACGATGCGGACTGACGCCGAAATGGTTGATTAAAGGTACTAGGCGTCTTCTGAGAAGTTTCTCGAGTTACAACACTCCTTCTTATGGTAAAAGAAAATTAATGATTCATCCACCTTAAAGTGATGAAATACAAAATAATTGCGTTTGGCAAAGCTGTAGAAAACATTACTGTGAACAACTTTGCTCAAGACTATAACTTTCTAGCTCTTATAACTGCTGAGATATAGAGGTTTTTTGTGGAGACATAGTCAAAATCAGTTTTGTATCTGTAACTTTTTCTACAATATTTCTACATGTTTAGCGTGTTGTACAAAGATGTTAGGAATATCAGATTATATATCTTTTAACAAGACTGCAAACTGCTGTCATTCATATTTGAAAAGTTATTTACATTTGGTTGAAAATTACCCAACTTCCAATACCAATAACTTCTAAACGGGCAAAAACGTGCAGGCCATTCTTTGAGCAATTGAAAGTACCAGAAAATGCAATAAAACTGTGAAGAAACCAGACCGCCCCCACAAGACCCTTCCGAAATACTTGCATTGAAAGTTGTCACTTTTCAGAATTTGAAATGGCGATTTTGTGAAACCACGGGACTGCTATCGAGTAGGTGTGAAAAGAGGCATACAACTGGATAACCAAGCAACCTGGGTTCTTTCTAGTGACTAACAAAATGACTCGGGATCAAAACGTCAAACGAAATTAACTGCGAGAGGTTCGAAACCTACGGAATAGAAACGGCTCGTAAACTAGTCGATCTATATCCATGGTACTATCTACCCGTGCCTGTTCATAAAGTGCTCATACACGGGGCGATTACCCGTGACCCATCAAATCCTGTGCAACACTTGCGTGATCTTTTATACACTCTTTCTTCAAATCGTTGTCGTTTTTGAAAACCTTCCCCGTTTTCCGGTGCTTGCCCTTCATAATCGCCCAGAATTTCTCTATTGGGTGAAGTTCTGGCGGATTTGCCTCCTTTGGCAAAAAAACAACATCGTTGGCTCCGTACCACTCCATCACCGGTTTCGCGTAATGGCCCGATGCCAGATCCGGCCTAAACAGAGTTTCACCTTCGTGGGACCGGAGGCGCTTCTAGAGGCATTCTTCTTTATATATTTGGCCGTTGATGGTGCCAGGCCGGGGATCTGCTTGGCATCCGCTTTAATGTACGTCTCATTGTTCATTACGATGCATTTCGGCTGCACCAACCACTCGTGGTACAGCTTCTTGACGCGGGATTTCATCACCGAATTATGTTTATCGGTTCAGTTAGGCGCCTTCCTTACCTTGAAGACTTGAAGTCCGGCCCGCTTCATTGTATGCTGGACGGACCAGACGGAAGAATTGACCTTTTTTGCCACCGAAAGGTTCGGATTTCGCTTGAAGAAATCCCTCACCTTCCTTGCGTTCACGGGGTTGTTCGTCTTCGCTTTTCTTCCACTACCAGCTCGCCGATGGGTCGTCTGGGTCTCCTTGAACGATTTTACGGTTGAATTGCCGATTCCAAACTGTTTCGGGATCCACCTGTGAGACTATAGCCTGGATTTTCCACGACCTCACCCATAATTTTTTTTTTCGAAGCCAAGGGGTAATCAACTCTGCACACTGTGGCGAAACACAGCATGGCACACTGTTCGGCACGATAGAGCCATTTTGACAAGTAGGACACACACGATATAATATACAACGGCATCACTGCTGAGTGTAGACGTTTTGAAAATCGTTGCTAAGGTTGACTACTCGGTTGAATACTTTCTTTACTCAAAAGTGAGGCTAACGAGAGAATGTATTGTCATACATAAAACTGGTAAAACAACGATTCAATCAAGAGTTTTAGAGCGATAAACTGGTTTCGAGGATCACTCGAAAAAAAAAATCTGTTAGTATTCTCTGGACCGTGAATTGTTTTAAATCTAGTAAAACTCAATCCGATTCACAGGAAAAATCCCTGTGGCTCGTGATTTCATCCACTACAGCTTCTATTCGAGCTTGACTTCAATCAAGTTCATCCACATCAGGGTCCGATCGAGAGGGTCTTGTCGATACGGCAGTCAAAACAGCTACAGCGGGTTGCCTCCAGCGACCGACGGTTGGTCAAAAGCTACCTATGGAACAAACTGGTTGGATCCCGTGATCATGAAAATCATATTTATGCACGTTCGCAGTTGGGACGCAAATAAATATTAAGCAGTCTGTGGAGGAAATTTTGAAGAAGTCTGTTAACGTATCATCGAGGAATTGAGTAGGAAATTGCTTGTATATCCGACAAATTTTGACTACGCAGGGGCTGGGTAATGCATTTTTGGTAAATATTTTGTGTCCCTTGCAGCGTACTCAGAAGGATCAGAGCATGGTTTTCTGCGAGAGTTTAGGTACATTTACGAATTTATTATGCAGAATAATCAATGAATAAAAACAGCTTATCAGAGGGCGGCCAGATTTGTATACCGGTCTTGCCAAGGATCATCCGGGATGGGAATTTTTAATATTTTTCCCTGCGTCTCAATTGATATGGGTTTCTATAGGTTATCCACATCTAGCACGTCCCCGTCACCAATCCGGTCATTTTGCAGATGCATCTCAGTCATCTTCCTTCTTTTGAACTAGCTCGTATCAAGGGAGCCCAGTGCGATGGGTGAAAATTTGATTTGAGGCTTTATTAAAAACTTGCTCGAGGAAGTTGCTTCTAGGGTGGGATTGAATTCTCGCCCATCAAAGTTCTGGGTTACGCCTTCGTTTCTGTACATCTGCAAAGAGTCAGCAGTTCAACGGGACATCGAGCCATAATATGGTGGACGGATTTGATAGCTTCCACTTCCACTTCCTCTTCCACCTCCCGATGTGCAAACGCTCTTATGAGAATGAAGAGAAGCTGAATGCTTGGCTTGATCCATCAGAGACATTAAGAATGTAAACGCAATAAAATAAAAGTCATAACTCACGGGGTTGACACATTGATAGGCACACTTTGATTGAAACCTTGTTCGGCACAGCGCTTGGCACAGCTCAATCACTCGGCATGGAGTAAGGTGTGCAGAGTTGAATACCCCTTGGTCGAAGCAAGAAGATTCCTGAAATCATGATTCACCTGAGCTTAAATCATGAACTCAATTCATAAATTTAGCTATCAGCATTTAAACCAAAGCATGTAAAAAAACAAAGCAACTGACTGGATTCCAACCCAGAACCTCCTTGGTATGCACAGTTGTACACACCAACTGATCATTTGTTAATAACTTTTCACTCAGCTGTTGAAATTTGTTTTTCTTTAAAGTAATTGAAAGATTTGGATCATAGTTTACTATAGTTATGCAAAGATTAGGTAAATGTTCTATCGACTGCTTCAAAAAGAACTATTTTTCGTAAACTGTGTGCAAAGTTATAAGCAAAGGACCAGTTCGTGACCAAAACTGTGTATGCCAAGCATGCATATGGGATTAGAGCTAATTGGGAACAAACTCTTATGATATATGACCACCTTTTGGGAAAATTTTGCACACGGCAAGCCACAAGTCTGGTCCTCTGGAAGGCCTTAACATCCGTAGAAGTAGTCAATTCAAGAAACTGATGCTAGAGCTCTGCGATTTTGTTTTTTCAAAACCACTTATAGACGTTTTATTAGAATGAATTCGGAGTTGTGACCGGAATCTGAACTCACGGTATGGTCCACCGATCGATTCAAAACATCCGTAAAAGTGGTAAATTCATGAAATTGATCCTAAAGCTCCGTGTTTTTTTTCTCGAAACCGCTCAAAGACGTCTTATCAGAATTAATTTGAAATTATGACCGGAATTTGGACTCAAGTAACCACAAAGCCCGTTAATAGCCCTATAATCGCCCTTTTTCAATATAAGGTTGTTATAGGGCTTTAAAACTTTATATCAGTCGCTTTTTTGCATTATATTGCGGTAAGCGGGCTTGTTGTTTACTTGGGCGGGAGCTACGGGATGGACCACCGGAAGATCCAAAACATCGTTATAAGAAAATGATATTTATCCTAGAGCTCCGTATTTTTTTCAAACCGCTCGTAGACGTCTTAGCAAAATTAATTCTTGTTTTATTGCTCAAAAACGTGCACATGATGGATTATATTTGTAACGTATAAATGAGTAACTGTTACCTACGAATGAAGTTTTTACTAATTTGAGGCCTAAAAATTTATAACTTAAGGGGGTAGTACACTTTGAACGTCCAAAAAGTAAGGCATTTTCGTTAATTTTTTTTAAGCAATAAAACACTCAAGGAGGGCAAATATGTTAAAACCCATTTATTAGTCATCCTTCGAACTACAATTTGTATTTTTTTGAACTCGATTGGCGTCTCCCCGTGGCCGGTGCACCAGGTCGCGCGGGCGTCCTCGCGCGGGCGTCCTCGCGCGGAAGTCGGAAAACGGCGTGGGAAAATACTCCTTTCCATGTGATCCTGGAACATAAATCGAACAAAAATCCTGATTAGTAATGAAATTTGGGTTAGAAATACGTATTCCGATTTTTTTAAATTAATTTTTTCAAAAGTTGGGGCTTTAGGAAAAAAAAAGTTCTATTTTTTACGCTAAAAATGCTTACAAAATCGTGGATTAAAAATCCTTTTTTGACAAAATCGAAAATGTGGATACGTATTTCTAAGCAGAATTTAATTCTGAACAAGAAAACCTAGGCGAAATTCAAATTTGATGATAACTGGTTAGAGTTATTTCCCACGCCAGTTTGAAAACCCCCGTTTCGAGATAAAACGCGTTTAAAGATAAAAATGCTCTCTCAGCGCGCCGGTACATGTCTTAGGAAATCGCTTCGTAAAGCGGTAAGGAATATTCTGGCAGACTTGGAGTCTTTTCTAAATTAAAGTATACATCCCAAGGAACATTTTAAGCCAAAAAGAAAATGCATTTTCAAATGCAAATCAAAGTGTACCCCCCCCCCCTTAAGGAAATAAAAATATAGACCAAAACGCCAAAACCGAGGTACCCAAAAATTCAGATTTTTGTATGAAAAAGTACCCATCACTCCAAAAGGTGCACGTGTCTGAGCCTTCTGTTTGAGATCCTGAAGATAAAAGAATTTCCAGGTAACCATAGGCAAGTTATTTCGCCTTTGGCTATATACAGCTAAACAACGGCTATATCAGAGTTTGTAAGTTTTGATGAAGCCCGTGTATAGTCAAAAAGGTGAAATAACGTGCCTATGGTTTCTTGGGTTATTATAAAACAGCAAAAAGGTTATCTTCCATTTAATTCCACTTAATTAATGTTGGTATCCATGACAGATACGTATTTCGACTACAATGTGCAGTCTTCATCAGTGTCAGTCCCGCTAAAGATCTATCAAAAAACGGACTAATCACAGATGGACCAATTTTACCACCGTCTTTAAAATAAAGTCGATAAAAATTTCCGTAATCATGAAGAAAAAAGTGTGAGCACTAATTTGCATTGCAAATAGAGTCCCCACTGGCACGTTCGAGGCTCAGAAGTAAAAGCAAAGATGAAAAATTAAGTTTGTGGAAAACAAATTAACAGGTAGAAGAATTTATCAGCGACTCACGAGCACTGGCCACGTGCGTTCGAGAAAAAATTTCAACCACCACCGTTTGCACCATCCTGCGCAGAACATTCCGTAATTCTTCGGGAAGCACAATGAATAGGATATAGGGTGGTTGAGCCAGTAATGGAGCAACTAATGTAGTTTATTAATTGAAAAAATATAAACGATCTGCAAATGCAATTTTTATGCGTCAATCATGCTTGGCCTACACAGTTTTGGTCACGAACTGCTCATTTGCTAATAACTTTGCACACAGTTGACGAAACAAAGTTCTCTTTGAAGCAGTAGATAGAATAAATTTTAAGCTTGTTATAAGTACGTAAAAATAAGTAGATTTTAATTCTAGTAATAAATTGTATTTGTTTTTGCGTTGTAAAAATGAAGTGAGAAATGCTCGCTGCACATCTCGGACTTTAAGTGTAAAAATTCATTGGTGTTGATTCAAATGTTAAGATTTATCTACTCTTTGTATATCTATAATAAACTATGATTCTAATAAATCAATTACTTTAAAGAAAAACAAATTTCAACAACTGACTGAAAAGTTATTAACAAATGAGCAGATGGTGTGTACAACTGTGCATGCCAAGCATGGCGTCAATCTATAGCTTTAAACCTCTATTAAAAATATTACATTGTGATTAAATTATATTCATTTTTCGAAAAGGTGCAAAGGAGTCAAAATCTTATGGACAATTAATTGTGTTCCGTCATTTGTGGGCTAATTTACAGATTGAAATTTCCAAATCTAGTTTAAACGCATCTATAGCGGAGGAACGCAAAGGGTTTTCGACGGATAAAACCTAAGAGAAGAGGTGACAATACGGGGGCGAAAATGAACCACTTTTCTGTCAAACGTGAAACAGCTCCTGATTTGCCGATTTCATGTGCGTAAGATAGAGATAGAGATAGAGATAGAGAAAGAAATAAAAAAGGAAGAACCCAATTGTCACCTCTTCCTCTTAGG